ATCTTTTCTCAAATCCTTCTTCTCTATACTGGCGCAATATTAAGGCATTTTAGGCAAAGTTTAAGAAACAACATAGCCTAGATAACTTATCCCATAGATTGTTAAACACATTATGATTGAATGGAGTCCATACACACCTAAAATTAATACGATTTCCAGTTTCGAATACCTACTTCCTATAAATATAATATTAGTAATCTGAGTGAATATTTGATTGTAAGGTATGTTAATGCTTAACTTGAACATTATGCATTGCAAAGAGGAGTCGACATCAACTAATGACTACATTTGAAAGTACTAATATTAAAAGATCTTATAAAAAGAGATTTATTCATGTTCGACAATAGCTTATTTAAGAGTATTAAATTATTATGTATGATATTTAATGTTAAGTTATTTTTGTGCTCATTGATGCTAAGTTAGAGATCTCTTAGAGCCCTTCCGAATGTAATATTTTGCTAAGAGATTTTGGGATGTTCGCTGACCATGGTTATCTGGAAACGACATTATAAGACCCTATTCTATTTGCCACATGTAAAAGAGTTTTAATCTACTGATTACAGCTAACCAAGATTTGCATCCTTTGCCTGCAAGTAAGTTTACATGTGAATAAGTAATTTGTAAATATCAAATTTAAGTTGTGTTGGCTATCCGAGAAATTTTCATTTTTTAAGAATAAAGCCTCACATTCAAGATCAAAGTTAAGATTTTTCTTGGCTTACTGTGAAGTAAAATCGCATTATTCAATTCATAAAATATGGTTAAACGATGAGATCGTTTGGTTGTATCAATTAATAGAGACCGCCTAAAAGTGCACAATAAATTTTATCTTTCTAGTATTTCACGATGTATTAATAAAATTCCGCTTTATTCCCCAAAAAAGCACTATTGCCAAGCAGCCCTTTTAAATTAGAGGCATGTTGTTAGCTTATTCGCAGAATAGGAGAATAATAAAATCACTTCCAGTTTTTGATTATATGCGGGCCAGAACCCTTAGATGCTTTTATTAGTTTTAGTATAGAAAAGAAAGTAAGCTATTTTATTTATTTTTCGCTATTTCCTGAGTTTAATATAAAATTTTCACGCTTCTCTTACTTGAGGAATAAGTTAACAGGAAAAATGTCGCTGCCAAAATCAGATAATTAGCTAAAGATTTAATGAATGATTGACTCAATTTTTAAACAATGTTTCCTTTTAAAACTCTTTCAAAGGCATTTTAGTTGAATAGTCAGCTCCTTATTTTCCAATCTAATAAAAATTGTAATCTTAAAATTCAGAGTGAGATTCGCGATATCGGATAACAAATCTTCGAGTATCTCCTTGCATTAATTTCAGTGAAAAGTTCATCTTTAGCGCTTCCTTTACAAAGAACATCCAAATTGACCATTAATAATTACTCTATGCACAACATTCAAGTACATTTGTTAGACTCCATAACACCATAAACTTAATGATTGATTATTTAATGTGACGAAATAGTAAAATGTTTAGATTAAATGGCAATTTAACAAAGATACACGCTACCAAACCGACTTTAATGAGTCTCCCTTATATCAAGTCGAGATTCCGATGAAATACAAAGATTAGTGTCTTTATGAGGCATCGCAACTGTAAGATGAAATATTTTACGAGTAAACAATTCTCCAGAGTTCAAGATATACTCCCTTGCTTGATAGTATAGCTTCTCTATAACAAACAAGGCATTACTTTCCTTTTATAATTTGGACTGTTCAGAAACCATTTCGTAAACGAAGAGCTGGCTTCTTTATTTATGCTTTATTAAAATATTTTACTGCTACGGCATATTTTACACAGACTTAAGTCGGATGAGGTTTAGAAGAGTTTATCTTAATATATGTTTCCAAAATCTCGTTTTATATCAGCCTGAAAGCTCGTTCATTTAACGGTTTGTGTATGACACTTTATTATGCTTCAACATGGTAGACCGTTTGTCAATTGATCCAAAATGGCCAATAAAGCACTCAATTAAGCGGACGATCGTGACCATAATGTTGATGCTAATGCTGTTTATTAGGCTCATGTTACAGTTCAACCTTGACCTTATTTCTGTCCAGATAGAGATGGCAAATATGCAAACAAAAGGACATCTTTTTGGAATGCGTTCACTCAAGGAAAGATATATGAAACCCTTTTTGGAATTAGCATTTTGGGCTTTTTTACATTTTTCCCTTATTTCTCTATTGTTTTATGAATTAATTCGTTCATGCATAGAAACGACGCTTGAACCAAATAATTGAGCTGATACAATGCCCTAATCCTATCTCTTCTGTGTTTTTTATCTTCAAATAATATGAACGCAAGCATACATAACAAAAAGCAGGATTATATGAGTTTGCCTATAAAGTTGTGATAGACAGAGGCACTTGTAATTATTTATTAAATGCAAGCTTAAATTAATTGAGACCTAAAAATGATTTACTTTGAAAAATTGCCAAATTTTCTCAAAAATTAGTTTCTCGAATTGATTACTGAGAGGGGGGCTAGGCATAATGAAATAGTGATAAACCCAAAATAACTCAAGAATATAAAGCATTAATAATGATTTAAATTACATTAATTCATTCCTTTCCAACCACTTAAAAACCATGTTAGTCCCCTCGAAAGTGAATCTATTGAAGCGCAAATCACGGTTTCTCTCTTTAAAGACTCAGAATCCGGCACTATCTTGATTATGCTGCTGCTTGTCCAGGGCTTTTTACTTTCTTCAAAACATGTATACAAGTTGCCAAAATGGGCTCTTAATCTTATATCTCTTTGCCTAGTTTCCATTCATAAAGTAAGAGGGTAATTTAGGGTTGTTTTCTCTTGCAGATTTTTGGGCAGACTAGACAGATTTAGTAATACAATGAACTTTCTAAAAAGGTTAAATGCATAAATCCGTCTTAAAATTCATCATAATGCATAAAAGATTTATGTAAAGGGGATTCGCTGACCAGCCTAACAGCAGGCTTCTGAACTACTTTGTCATTGGTAAGTTGCCTCGCTCTGGCCTATAGAGCTGTGGAGACTGAATTGCATTTTATGAAGTCGGAAAACAGTGCTCTGATTTATTGCAAAAATTGGCATCATAAGAAGACTATTTCATTAAAGATTTGGTTAATTGGTCTAATAAGCTTAGCTAGTTGGCACAAGCGTAGATCATTTAAATGGCATTTAAAATTAATTCCTACATCTTTCGGCCTGAACTGCTTGAGCAATTCCTTGAAAATCAGGTTTTTGGCATTTTGCTTTTGCATATGGGTAGAATTTTCTCACCTTTTGTGTACAAATAAACTATTTAGGCGAAATATTTTTTATCTGGACAAGGATTAACATTATAAAAAGAATACTTGACAGCGATTATATGGATTTGATCAAAAGTTCTATTCCACTCATTTCTACAGTTTTCACCCGATTTACATGAACGCAGTACGGATGAGTGCATTTATTAGAAAAGCCTGAATCTTGGTCAAAGCCCAAACATGGGTCGCTTAAGGCAATTTAGGAGTTGATATTGTCATGAGTAGGCGTCAGAGAAGGATTTATCAGTCTCAGATATAAAGACTAGGCGTTCTTCTACGTCTTTCAGACAATATGAACAAGTTGCGAAAACAAAGTAAAAACAACTTTTATCATCCAAACTTTAAATCACTCTCAAGCGTTCAGGTGGGATTAAATTTTAACTCAAGAATTACTGAAAGTTTTGCAAGGTAACTCTCGAATACCTGTTTGCTTCTTCGGAAATCTCATTTTAAAGTTTAAATTGTGAGGGACCTGGATTGACTTTTAAGTCTAATCTGACCTCTGACCCAATTGCACCTAATTGGGACTCTGTAGCGAAGTTTGAATAAATTTTACTGTTATGAACGAGATCTATCTCGAAAACAGTTGATGAATAAAAGATTCTTGCAGAATGGAATAAATTTTGGCAGTAGGCCGATCTATGAAATCCATGAAATGTATTCACCCTATTTCGTTTAAGGTGATAGGGAGACTGATAATTGAATTTTCCCACAATCTTATAAGTGGACCTCATGATTTCCAAAATGTATCCTAATCCAGGCAAAAGTGTATTCAAGTTTCAACTTTGCCTGAACTGGTCACACTACTGCTTCCAGAAGGACTCGAGCCCAGTTTGTGATGATTCAACAGTTGAACCGCTATGCAAGACTGTCACGAGTGCCCATTGGTCACAGGGTAGATGTGAATTTCAATGAAGGCCAGACACTTTCTCGTATCGCATTCTGTCGTGGGATTCTCAATGAAGCAAAGTTGTATTTGCTATAGCAATTGATTACATAACTTATTTTAACTTTCTATAATTAGGTTTTCAAGACTAGCATTTGATCATAAAGATTATATATATATATATATATATATATATTTATTTATTTATTTATTATAGTATTAATTTATATATATAATATAGCTTATATATATTTATTTATTATGGTATATATATATATATATTTATTTATTTATTATAGTATATATTTATTTATTTATTTATTATGGTATAAATAAATAAATATATAATATAGCTTATATATATATATTTATTATGGTATATATATATATAAGCTATATTATTTATTTATTTATTTATTTATTTATTTATACCATAATAAATAAACAAATATATATATACTATAATAAATAAATATAATATAAGCTATATTATTTATTTATTTATTTATACCACAATAAATAAATATATATATATACCATATTAAACATATATATATAAGCTATATTATATATATATATTTATATATATATATGTAATCTCGAAAGCCTGCATATAAAAATAAAAAAAAGAGAATGGTCTGCCGTCTCGTAAAATGGACAACTGTGAACTGAACTCCAATCCGATGCCGATGCGTCCGAGGTCGTGTTCTGAAAGTTGTCCAACTCGGAGCGCTGGTGACCGTTGAAAGATGAAGCTGGTTGAAGGATTTCATAGACATTTACTTGTCTGTCTGTTCGGCTGAGCTGACTAATTAATATTTAACAACTTTTGTCACACAGCCAGACGACACTGCAACCGAGCCGGGGAAGGGGGTCAGCTGTAGCTCAGAGTCTGTTCTTGTTACCAGGCGTTGTAGACGGCCGTTGTAGATGTGACATGGCCAGCGCCTCAGCGACAGACCATGGCGGAGGCGGTAGGTGTAGACACATTTGGCTAGGGTACTTTTGTCGCTGGGGCGAATGTGAACGGTGTGCAACAGTGTGTAGCTTGCCTGAATCAGCCAGAGGCCAGGCAACATGTGCCGTGAGGAGCAGGCTTCTGGGCACGAGTTGGAAAGGTCGCTTTCCGGCAAAACTGTATCGGCTTGACCGTTAAGGCGGCCAGTATTGTTGCAGAGTTTAGGGGGGGGACAAGTTTACACCAACCTAATTACCATTCGGACTGATCTAGCTCATCTCTGCAGCAATGCATGTGCTGTTTTATGAGGATAAATGGTATATTTTTTGGCAGATTGATGCAGTTGAATATATACATGCAAGGAAATGAGTGGACTTTAGCTCAGGTCGCTTCAGAGCGACGACACTTTCCGAAAGGAACGAGAGCATGCATCTCCAGCCTCCTGAGGGCATGTCGAAACGCTATTGATAACAAGAAATTT